GACCCGGGCAAAGGGAACTACTGGATGCTGGACCCCTCCAGCGACGATGTCTTCATTGGGGGTACCACCGGCAAGCTTCGCCGTCGCTCCACCACCTCTCGGGCCAAGCTGGCCTTCAAGCGGGGCGCCCGGCTCACCTCCACCGGACTGACATTCATGGATAGGGCAGGATCCTTGTACTGGCCTATGTCCCCCTTCCTCTCCTTACACCACCCCCGGGCCAGCAGCACTTTGAGTTACAATGGGACCACGTCTGCCTACCCCAGCCACCCCATGCCCTACAGCTCAGTGTTGACTCAAAACTCCTTGGGAAACAACCACTCCTTTTCCACGTCTAATGGGTTAAGTGTTGATAGACTAGTCAATGGAGAGATACCTTATGCCACTCATCACCTCACAGCAGCAGCTCTGGCCGCCTCAGTGCCGTGTGGCTTGTCAGTTCCCTGCTCTGGCACCTATTCCCTAAACCCCTGCTCTGTAAATCTCCTAGCAGGACAGACGAGTTACTTTTTCCCCCATGTTCCTCACCCTTCAATGACTTCTCAAAGCAGCACTTCAATGACGGCCAGGGCAGCCTCCTCCTCCACGTCGCCACAGGCGCCCTCCACTCTCCCCTGTGAGTCCTTAAGACCTTCTTTGCCAAGTTTTACAACGGGACTTTCCGGAGGACTTTCTGATTATTTCACACATCAAAATCAGGGGTCTTCTTCAAACCCTTTAATACATTAACATCCATGGGATCAGACTGTAAGTGAACATTTTACACACATTTGCATTGTAAATGATAATTAAAAGGAAAAAAAAAGCAAAACAAAAAAGTCCAGGTATTTTTTATTAAGTCCCCCATTTTTCTGTACGTTTGTTCAGTCTTTAGGGTTGTTTATTATTCCACCAAGGTGAGGAGTGTCAGCAAGGTGCAATGTGGGGAGATTGCATTGTAGTCTATGAAGTTTGGAAGACAAAATTATAGTAGAATGTGTATCTAAATAGTGACTGCTTTTGCAATTTTTTTATTCAAATATGATAAGTCTATCACTAAAAGCCGCCCGATTCTCCATGTTTGCAGTATTATAAGTTATCATGGATATGTCGGTGGGTGCAGACCTTGAAAGAAAGAAAAGAAACCAAAACCAAACTAAATTTATGAAAACTATAAAAAACCCTTAAAACGTAATTTGTATTTAAGCAGAAGTAATACTGAATGATGCCCATGAACTACTTTTGGCCATTTATTATTTTATTATTTTCTTTACCGAACTGCTTTTTTGGGGTTCCATTCCCTTTTTTTTTTGTTTGTTTGTTTACTTTTAGACCAAAGATTGGGTTTTAGAAAATGCACTCAGTGTACGGAGTAATTTAAAAAAAACAGCAACGTTATTTCAGTTTGCAGCACTGCCCGTTCAAATGAATCAGAAGGGGACAAAATTAATGATTGCCTTCAGTTTGTGTTGTGTATATTTTGATGTATGTGGTCACTAACAGGTCACCTTTATTTTTTTTTCTAAATGTAGTGAAATGTTAATACCTATTGTACTTATAGGTAAACCTTGCAAATATGTAACCTGTGTTGCGCAAAAGCCGCATAAATTTGAGTGATTGTTAATGTCGTCTTAAAATTTCTTGATTGTGATACTGTGGTCATATGCCCGTGTTTGTCACTTACAAAAATGTTTACTATGAACACACAGAAATAAAAAAATAGGCTAAATTCATATATACTTGATAGTTTTTTTGTCTCTTTTGTTAACCCTAATGTGGCAGAGGCTTGAAAGTTACAGAGAGATCAGAGCGCTGCTTATTACACAGTCCACCATTTTTCACATGTTCCTTTCTCTTCCCTCCCCCAGCCCCCCGCCTTCTCTGCCATTGTCTTTAACTACAGTATTTTCAGATGTAAAAGATCAGAGTATTTAATTAAACATCATGGTCACTATTGTGATGTCCATTTTGGGACAGAACTCTTATCAAGTCTGCTTAAAAATTGATAGTACAAGGTAGGATGTCTTACTTAGAAACTGCCTTACATTGAAGATGCTTAAAATCGCGTATGTATATATACATACATTCATATACAATTTAAGTGTATAAGCACACATTCGGAAAAATCCAAGGTGAATTATTATATAGGTACATGTTCTTCCTGCAATCTCTGAAATGCATTCAAAGACTTATTATCCTGAAAGAAATAAATTTCATCTCTACGATGACTCGAGATATGTTAATGAAGGATGTGTATGTGCGTGTATATACATACACATATTAACTATCGTATGATCGTTTGATGAAATTTAGCAAGCTGTGATACGTATGTGCATAAAATATAATCCTTATCTTAAAGGAGCGCTGTTCCGGAAGTATCTAGGTTATATGTATTCATATACTTTTGATGCTGCAAACACTTTGGCTTTAGTTATTGTGAAAGTAGCGGTGTTCTTTTGGGCAGACAGCTCTCTCCTCTGTCCCTTCGGCCAGGCGGAGGGGGCAGGAACCGAGCAGGGTGAGGTGAAGTCGCAGTCCATGGCAAGGAAGCAGGGGCCGGGAGTCACGTGACACCCTGCCCTGCATACCGATGTTTAAACGTTATAGGGGAAAAAAAGAAGGAGAAAAAAAAGAAACAAGTCAAACCTCTATGGATGCACTCAAATGCAAAGTTTTTAAACTGAGCTCTTTTTTTTCTCAGTGTCTGCTGAAGCCCAGTAACCCATGCCAGCGTCCATAAGAATGCTGCGTTGCCTGGAGAATCAATCCATTAGTTTTAAGGGAGCAACGGTGCTAGTAATTTTAAGAAGCATTTAATCCTAAAATGAATTGGTTTCTTGAAGAGTTTAGGGAAGCCTATAAAAGCCGCAACTCTTGAAAATAATTAAAAAACTTGTGCAAACGGTTTAGGAACTAATTGGATCCCGCGGTGAGACCGCAGAGGACAAGTTGTTCATTTGTTACGTTTGTAGCCTAGACTGGGCTCTGCGGCAGTGCAATAAGTCGGTGACTGCTCACAATAGGCCCAATGAAAAACAATCTCTAGGTCGTAGATGTTATCGCAAACACTTTAAAGAGCTTATCTTGGAAAGACAGAAAAGAGGAAGAAAAAGAGAAAAAAAATGCCGGGAGGTGAACAAAGAAGCAATAGCAAATCTGAATTCTTTCAAATAGAATATTTGTCAAGCTGAAAGAATAACAGGAGGGAGGGAAAATCTCCTGAAAATAAGTAATGTATAAACAGATGCAAGCAGATCTGCAGGAAAGAGAGGACTGAAAGGTTACGAATGAGAGATGGGACACCCAGCTCTGCACTATGTGGAGGAGAAGGAGAGAAATCTCTGATATTCTTGGCTTTCACTCTCACTCCTGCAATTCAAAATTAATCATCACTATGAGGAAACGATTGCTTTGTTGGGGAATGAAGAGATGATACCACCACTTGGAAACTCCTACCGTCCCCCGTATTTTTCACTCTATTGTATTAAAACAAGTAATGCGAAAAAACTAAAACCCAAAACTCCTTTGCCACAAACCTATTGGAAATAATAAAATGCAATAGGTGTGATTTAAATTCTTGGCGCCCGGAGACCCAATTCTGTGTACTTGTGCAAATTAAAAAGCGGCATCAACTGCAGATGACAAAGGAAATTATTTATTATTTACCACTTGCAACTGTTGTATACTGTAGGAAATCCAATTGCACATACGTAAAGTATTAGTTAGTTCGCAATGTAAAAAAAAAAATCTGCTTTCGCTGTACTGAAAGGAGGAAGTCAGGTTGGAGGAAAGCACAATCCCGCCATGTCAGAGTTTGAGGTTGGCTAATAAGCATTAATTAGAAAAGCGTGATGCATAATAATTCCTCAGAAGGGTAGCCTTGATGTTGTCTCTCCAGACTTAGCTTAAGCAAGCACTAGGTCCGAGCGCTTCCTTTAGGCTCTGTGTAGCAAAGTACTGCCTGAGCAAGTTTAGGTGTCACAGACTTTTCCCTCTTTCTCTTACGCGGGGCACAGGAGTGGCTGCTGAGCTGGTAATTTATTCACGTTTCCATAAATGTATTGCCAGCAAAGAGATTATTTTTGTAAAGGAAAAAAAATAAAACCAAACCAAAATAAAAGCAATAAACTGCTAAAGTTGTCATGAATGGTAGCGGGACCGCTAAGGCCCCAAATATGTCTTTACCTCTGCCTGCTCCCCAGCCAGAGAAACCCTTTTGTTCGCTGAGGATGTCTCCGAGGTTAATCTTTGCACAGACTGGTTCAGTACTGAACGTGAGGTGGTGGGGGGTTTTTGTAGGTTTTTTGTTTGTTTGTTTGTTGGTTGGTTTGGATTGTTTGTTTGTTGGTTGGATTGTTTGTTTGTGGGGGTTTTGGGGTGGGGTTTTTTTTGTTTGGTTTGGTTTTTTTGGTTGGTTAAGTTTTTTAGAATACAGAATTTCTGTTATCTGATGCTTTTTTTCCGCGGTGGTTTATATGTCAAATCCTCAAGATAAGCTTTCGGGATTTTTTTTAATATGCACATTTCTAGAATGATGAGGTGTCTTAGTGTCGTTTCCTTGGCGTTTCCTAATTCAGAGTGTTTATGGGGGACGGGCGGTCATTACGGAATTAAAATGCTATTGTTATTTTCCTAGTTGATGTTTGAGGTGATTAACTTTGCTCGCATAGATCGTAGGAGAAGAATTCTGCTCATCAAGAAACATCCAATTATGGCTTTAAGATTGCCTTCGCAAATATGTTTGAGGCATAATAAACAGGAACTCGAATTCTCAACGCGATATTTGGCCTAACAATTTTTGCTAAATTTTAGATATTTTTCTTTTGTTACGGTAAAATAGCATCCGCTATATGGAACGTATTCTTATGAAAGGGTTTAAAAGAAAGTTAACAAAAATATGATTTGCCTTAAATGGCACAAAACTAATGTTTGTGGGAGTGATATATTTTTTTAATCCAGTACTTGAAAAAAATAGTTTAACCGGAATGTCATTTTGCTCTTTATAACTTCTTCGGTTGATTATTAAGATTTATGTCAGAAATCATGATTCAGGTACACACCCCCTCACTACTTGTGTTAATATGAGGTCTCAATCACGATGTATTCACTATTCACTCAAGCAAAACTCCCACTGAACTCCGGTTACATTTTTACTGAACCACATCAGAGTTTTGCTTAAGGAAGAACATTGATCAAGACTCGTTGCTTTATTAGTGACTATATTCTTTAATTGTTCGTATTTTCCCTTAGGATAGGAAACAAACAAACAAACAAAAAATCTCTCTGTAGATAATCACCACTATTGCACTTAATTGTGTGATCGCGGATAATACACCCGCCGGAGAAAGTATATGCACATTCGTATTACACGAATAAAAATTCAGCGGTTGGCAATAAATATGTATAAATACATATAGACACACACAACCCTGCAGAGGTGTCTATCCATTGCACTAGAATCTATAGTAGATTCCTCTGCAGTTCTACGCAGTGAAATGTCCTTGTTTTGAATACCCCCCCTCCCCTCCCAATGGTGAAGGTGTCTGGGTAAATGGGTCAAAAAGTGGTGGAGAATTGGGTTAGAAAGAGGTGAAGGTGAAGATCAATGGAGGCTTTAGGGCTGGCTGTGTGTTTTGCTGGGTTTGTGTGACTGTGCCCAGAGGGCGGAGTTCCTGCACATTCCTACCTCACCGGAGAACCTGCCCTCAACTCCACTGCAGCTACTCCAGAGAGATGGGACCCTTCAGAAGAAACCTGCCCAGCAATCCCAGCAAGCCTTCCCGCCAGAAGGGTAGGTGCACTTCAAGAAAACCTTCCCTACCTCTTCCCCCACAGGCAGATCCATGTGATACGAATGAATAGAGATGACAGACTTCTGTCTAAATGTGCTGTTTCCCTGTGCCCCACGATAAGCAGATCGCCCGTGCAACCGAAGCACAGTTTCAAAGAACCAGTTACACCAAAACTGAGTGTGCCTACTGTCAGGATTTTCTCTCTCTCTCTCTCTCTCTTTTTTTTTTTTTTTTAAATTTTTTTTTTTGTTTGTTTTTGTTTTTTTCCCTTTTTTATTGTTTTGGTTTTGGTCTCTTCCTCAAACTGTTTCCTCCCCCGGCCTCCTCCCTCCCCCTCGGGCTCTTTCGTTTCAATCGGTAAGTTAGAAGTTTCTTCGCCGGTTTAGCAGTTGTTATGGTTAACCTGCAGATATTTTAGCTTGTTTCATTAACGTGCTCTTTGCTTGCTTCTTTGCCACTAATGTCAGAGAAAGTCACACGGGTGCAATGTTGTGTTTGCGTTTTTAAGATTCCAGGAGAAACTGCCTCTACCTGCAAGAAAGGCGCACGTTGGCACTTGGGGATAGAAGTCCTCCATCGGCACCGGGTGAGTCGGATTTTACTCCTCTTTTACCCTCAGGAATCAAGTAACTACACGCGCGATTTTTGTCCGCTGGTACCAGGATGGGAGAGAGCGCGGTTCCAGGAGATCCCTGAGCCTCCTCTGCCTTTTTTTTGTCACAACGCAGAAATATTACGGGGCCAGGCAAAATTCCCCGCCACTATTCATTGCGGGAGGAAATTTGGTCCTTGATCCACCTCTGCTATGTGAAAGACGATTTTAGTATGAGTACAGGCGGATTCCGTAATGAATTATTTCCCAAAAAATCTAAGCCTGTCATTTGAGAAAAAGCTACAGGCTTCTCTCACCTTTCGGGATTGTGTAAAGAATGCTAATATCCCTAAATTTTCAAGGAAGAGACTAAATGCCAAAAATTTCGGGAGATCGAGGAGATCGATAAAGAGCCGTACATCTAAATCTGAGCTGGATTTTGCTCTGAGTGTTCCGGCGGAGAAACTGCTCCCTTACAACCGATCGCGGGCAACGTTCATGTTCATGGGAGAGCTCCAGACACTCTCCCTTTGTCTTCCCACTTCCCAAATTCCTTAACTGCCTTCTGTACGCGTGGAGATTTACGTGCCGCAAACCGAAATCTCGGAATAGGGGCGGAAGTTTAAACGACTGATACAACTGATGTGCTCAGCGTGCTCATCCTTGCGGGTGGGGGCAGGCGCGCGGGTGCGTGGGCAGGACCCGCGACGGGCCCTCCGTGGACCGACTTGTTCTTGTTTTGCTGTCCCGACGTGGTGCAGGGGAAGAGCCACGGCACGTGTCCCACCCGGCGGATAACTTTGACCCCTTGCTCCTTGCCATTTTTGACCTCACGAAAATAATTAATTTTTTTAATATACAGCAAGTTGAGTTTTCCGTGACGCTGTGCGTGGGACACCCCAGAGCAGGGGGCAGCGGTACCGAGCGCCTGTCTCCCCCGCATCGCAGGAACCGGCACCCGCGCACGGGGACGCGCACTCGCACACGCACAGCACACGCCGGCAGTGACTTCTGACAGATCCGCTGGCGGTTTGTGTCCCCGGCTCAAACCTGCCCGGCGATGTCCCGTGGGTCCCGCAGGGCACGGGTGGAGCTCCCCACGCTGCGGAGAGCGGCACCCACACTGCCGTGCCTCCAGAACGGCAGGGACCGGCTCTGCCAGACGCTCCTGGTTTCCCGCCCCGGCGCGGCCGCCGTGCCCGGACACGCGTGTCCGCGGGGCGAGGCGGGGGCCTGGCGCGGCGGCGGCGGCGCCGCGCATCCCGCGGGCTGGGGGCGCTCTTGCCCCGCGGGAGAGCCGCCCCACGGGGCCGCGGGACCCGCCGCACAGCGCCCGGAGCCCCGGGAAACAGCCCTGTTCACCCGCGGCCTCTTCCAAGGCCCGGCAACCCCCTGCCGCCCTTGAAACGGTGGTTTGCAGGCGACGGGCGCCTTTACTCGGAGGGCTTGAGTCCGTGCCGCCTCCCTCCCTTCAGAAAGGAGGAAAAATATGAGGTTTCCTTCTCCATGTAGACTTAGCTTTGTATTCTCCTAGCCACTAAGAGACGGAGGTTGCTCTAGGAACAGGCGTTTGAAGTCCTCTTCCCAAGAATTGGCCCAGGATGCTCCGACCCAGGATCAGGCTCGCTAAACACTCCTCTCGCTCCACTGAGGCAAAACGAACCAGAAAAGACTTGAAAAACAAAAATAAAGAAAATAAATTAAACTGCCAAAATAAATAAATAACCAAAGAAACGACTAGCAACCTCCCCTCCTCCCCCTCTTCAATATCATGTAACAGAATATAGTATCAGGCTAGCGAATTGGACTTAAAGCGAGCGGCTTTTCTGCTCTCAGTCGGAGAAATGAATGCAAAGTCCATTTCAAAGAATTATCTCTAGGGAGTCCTCCAAGTGTATTGGGGTTATCCGTGATTTGAGAGGAAAGACTAAACGAGAGGGAGTCTGAGAAAAGCCTGCATTGTCACCCTACCCTAAGGTGAGTAAAGTATCCCTGCAAAGTTAGCTGCAAAAAACTGCTTAACCTAAGCTCGAGAGGTGAAAACTCTCCAAGCCCGGAGCCACCTGACCAGGGAACCCGAATTTCAAACTAAAAAGGCAAGACGAAGCCTGAACTCTCTTGGGGGTTTTTGGCGACTTTTTGTTTGTGGGATAATTTTGGTTGGTTTGAGGTTTTTTTGGTTTGGTATTTTTTTGTTTGTTTGTTTGGTTGGTTTGGTTTTGGGTTTGGGGGGGTTTTTTGGTTTTTGTTTTTTTTTTTTTTTTTTGTTTTGTTTGGGTTTTTTTCCCCCCATGGTGGGGAATACAGAGCGCTTTATGAATGATTTTGCAAGAGCATCTTTCACAGGGAGGTAGGAACACGTGAACGGAACCCTTCCACTTCAGAGCGCTCCCGGCAGCTCTCCCTTAACGGCGGAGGAGAATGGGGTTTGCTGCTGCGACCGGCCCGCGGGGAAGACCTCGCCGAGCTCCCCATTAACTTGGCGGCCCTCCAAGCTAAGTGTTAGCCCAGCACTGTTGGTTAGTGGAAGGAAGAGAACCCCTCTTCGTCTCCCCCCCTACCCACATCCCCACCTTGCCTGCTCTGCTTTTACTCAGAATTTTTCTCATCTCAAATATTTAATATTAGGTAGTCTACTAAATTAATCATAACCAAGAGGAGACAAATATCTGCCAAAAAAATCTGGCTGAAGCCTGGCTGTAGAGTAAAAAACCGAGAAATTCTTTCTCAACCTTAGAAAACAGCTTAAAAGAAAGAAAGAGAGAGAGAGAGAAAAGTTGCATTCTCATAAAAAAATAAGCATAACCTCATTGTGAAGCATGGTATGTCCCAAAAGGACGCAATACTTTTGTAAATTAAATACTGATAATATTCACTCGTTACAAAATTATTCTTTTGAAGCAAAAATCTTGGTGATGCTATACTAGAAGATGCGTTTCTTCTCCTTTTATGCTCCCTGCACACTCAAACACTCTCGCATCCCCATACCAGTATATTTCCAAATGGGGATGATGGCACTGATTAGACTTTTCACTAGACCCCAAACGAAACAAAGCTGGGACAGATTATTAGAGCTGTCTATGGGGGGATACGGTTAAGTACATCACATAATCATCTATATATTTAGTGCTATGGCTCATAGGTAACTTTGAAATACACTAGTGACAAGTAAATCTCCTTTTAGGTTTCTGAACTGCACTTCTGATGGCTAGTGCATCTAGAGAACTTAAGATGCAGTCTAGATTTGTACCACACTCATAGTGGTACAAAATGGCAAGGGTATTTTTATTAGCATTTTGTATACCCAAACTCATAGTGGTCTATGAGAAAACAGACGAGAATTACGCAAATAAAAATGGCATTGTTGTTTTATCAATGAACTTTCCCCCCACCTCTCTCTCTCTCTCTCTCTCTCTCTCTCTCTCTAAACGTGTGTGTATATGCATGTATATATTTGTCCAATCTTTTCTGACTGTGAAGGTGTCCTCTAGCATAAATCAGAAAAAGCCGCTCTGCATGTTCCTTTTCTTTCTTGCTTATTTATTCTGTTTGAGCAAAGCTGTTTGTTTTGCTGGGAAGCATAAGTTGCCTTTGGTTATGCCATCACTATAATTTGCGTTTAGATGGAAGGGTAGCCCTATTTTTATTATTAAATCTGTAAAGGTAAAAGTACTAATAATTAAATACAGATCTCTGATTGCAGGCTGGAACAGCAAAATCGATTGTCTCTTCATCAATAAGACAAGTGTTGAGTAGCTTGCTATTGATTAGTATGTTTATTTATGCAGATCTTTAGGTATTTTCTTACATATTTCAAGTTCTTTGTCTGCTAATTATTTTACCAGATTGGTTTGAAAGAAAGAGCTTAGACTGGGAAACACAGTTGACAGATCCATTCTTAGCTAACCTGATAGTGGATTATTGCAATCCAGTAAGTTTAACAAATTACTTATACGTGCTTGCCTTTCGAGCAATTAGGAAGCCGTTTCAGATTAAAATCCCTTGTTGCATTAGGGGTCGGTTCATTTAAATAAAGGGGCATTATGTTTAGATATTTTCCAAATGAAAAATGGGTTTCTGGATCCGCAGAGGCTGAACAGGATTTGATGCGTACTTCGGTTTCCGAGCCCTTGGCTTCCGTTGTACGTGTAAAACACCTTCCCAGCAGCAGAGTGGGCCCTGGGGTTTCCTCATAGATGGAATGTAATCTCCATAGATGCAGGTAATCTGAATATCGAAATCAGGAATCAATATATTAAACAGAAATAGCCTACCAAACAAAACAAAACAGAGGGATCGCATCCAAACATCAGAGTCCTCAAAGCAGGCGATATTTTAAGTTGTTTTTTTGCTTAGTGATTTAATCGATCCAAAAGGAATTGCCCCAGACTCTCTGCTAAACGGCCTGGTTCCCAACCATCCCCTCCAAGGACCCCAGAAGGCTGACATTTTCATCTATTTTTTTAATAGTTTTTCCGATAGGACACTCGCGTTTTCTTTCGCAGCCGTTTCGGAGAGGGTTCTGCTTTTATCAGTATTTTCCCCCCTCCGCTTCGACTGTGCTGACACAGGCAGCTCGGCAGAGGGGAGCGAGCTCGCAACCGGGGAAAACTAGCGGGGGACGGTGTGAGAGCCAGGTGCAGGGAGGGAAGGCCCCCTCCCCACGGCCTACGCCGGCCGAGCTGCCCCACGGGGTGCAGCCCCTGCCGCCCTACCCGCCGCTTGCTCGGGGAGCGGCGCCGCGGGAGCCTGAGCCACGGGATGAGAAGCGGGAACAGGACCCGCGCACGGTGCTGAGCGAGTGCTGAGCCCTTCTTCCGTTCTCTTCCTCGTCTTTTGCTTGAGGCAAGTTTTGGCGGGGAGGGGGGAGGATTTCCCTCCCCCCCCCGTTCTTTTACCTCCAGGAACTGCTGCTTTACAACCTGTAGAGATAAGACGGCCTCGCAGCAGATGATCACAGAGATAAGTAATCTCTCCCCTCGGCCAGTGGTATAGCTGACCGTATGCTCTTGAATCTTAGAGCGCTAAGTCTTTCCTGTGAATGAACGAGAAAACACTCGACAGGTCGTGAATAATCGTTTTAATGAGTGTGTAAAAGCGTGCGACGGGGTGCACGGAGCTGTCGGGTTAAACAAACAACTTGTACCCTGACGAAATCCGATTGTTAAAGTGCAAAGTGATGTCAGTCCAATTTCCATCCCAGTTCTAAAAACCACAGATCTAAGTCGCGGGAGTCCAATTTTCCCCATTAAGAAAAATAACAATATTTTCTGAACGTAAGTGCGATCGTCCCTAATGTTAGCCTTTGGCGAAAAAAAAGACCAGTTGCACATCGCAGAGGTGTCGAAGTTATTTTTATTATTTTTAAAGGCAATAGTTAGAAATTGTGTATCTGGCTGTTCCCGAGATATTATCAGATCAATGCAGTAAATATTTTCCTTTTTTGTGTGTCTGTCGCCCCCCTCTCCGTATGTGTGTGTGTGGGGTGTTGTGATTTGTTTTGGGGTTTTTTTTTTTTTTGAGTTTTTTGTTGTTTTGTTTGGTTTTATTTTTTTTTGTTTTGTTTTTGTTTTTTTTTTTTTTTTTTTTTTTTTTTTTTTTTGTGTGGGGTTGTTTTTTTTTCCCCTCAGATCACTGGAGGCAAACATCGAATTAATTGGATCTCAATGACTGAGGTTGGTATCTTTGTATTGAACTAAGGTTATCTTTGTCATAGTGTTCTAGTATTTACAAGACATTTTAGGAGTTTCTAGTTAAGGTAAATCCAGAAAACATATATGATAAAATTAAAAGGGAGTTGAAATATTTACTCCAAATCCAAGTTATATTACCCTTGTGTAGGGAGATAACAGTCTGTGGGTCTGTAATAGTCTATGCAGAAACTATTAATTCAGAAGAAAAATAAACAATTTTGGAGTTTTTTTTAATTTTTAAAAACTTCATATCAGAATAGCAAAGTCTGTTTCCTGTACAACTAGAGGGCCTTGCGCTATTTTGAAAATGCAAATCCCACTCTTTTAAGCCCCTTGATTATTTCTTAACGTTAGTAATGACGCATATTCCTGATGTTTATTGTTGCTGAATACTTTCATACCGATTACAGGTCTGCCTCTTTCTATGAAGATTCATTTTCAGGTGTGTCCTCCCTTTCTTTGAAAATGCCCGTTAGAGTAAAGTGAGGTAAGGCAAGGCAACTGCATCTGTAAACCAATGCTTTTTAAAGTTTCTCCACTCTTCCGATTAATACGCAATTTTTCAAAAATAACATGATACTGGAAAATTAATGCAAGATATATTAGTAGGCTATAGTTACAATGGGGACCCAATGCAGTGATATGAATGTGAAATTTACTTTTGATACTTGTGGACATGGAATCTGGCCATTGGTGAACCGGATATGAGTGTCCATATGGCTTTGGTCTCAAGTCGATCTCCAGGGTTCGTAGCATTTGGATTAAAACACTGATTTTTTTTTTCAACCCAGACAATTTTGTGTTATGCTTTAGAAATGGTATAGGCATTGAGAATGAATATCAATGATTTCTGTGTTCCCGAAGCGTGACAGAATTATTTTGCAAACCTTCCTCCGAAACCAGTGATAGAAAGGAAAGAGAGAGAGAAGAAATGAGAGGGAGAGAGGTGAAGGAGGGGAAAAAAAGATAACTCAGCCCCGTTGGATTTGGTAGCAGATCTATAACAAACATCTGACGAAAGTTCTGGGCATTTTCAAATATGGCTTTGTTCAGACTATGTGACTTGAAACACGTCGTTTCCCGGACCAGTCTGAACGCTGGAGGCCGTCAAAACCGAAATGTTCCCACTGTTTTCCTTAACCCCCTACGTGAGAAAAAAAGGGACGTAGCTCAGCCCCACGGAAGAAAGAGAGAGGAGAATGAAAGATAAAGCGCAAGGACATATGCCTCCCGAGTACAACAGGACAGAAATCTGCATCCTGAGCGCTAGGAAACATTTCTCATCCCAGTGAAAGACTAATGCCCTCCTGCAACTGCAATTTCCTTTGCAACAAAAACGTACGTTAAATGGGCACGAGGGATAGTAAGGATCTATCAGTTTCCTGCTGTAGTTCTGCTAATAAATAAAATTCTAAATGTTTAAAACACTCTATCTGTCACATTCACAAGATAGGTACTGTAAATTCCTGTTGAAAATATACAAACAGAGATCCAAGAGGTTGCCTCTGTTTTTGTATCTCTCTCGCACAAGAAATGGACTATCAAAACATTAATTATATTTGAAAGGGAACAGATTATTTGTTTGAGAAAGAATTACATTCTTGAATTTATATTCCACACAGACCTCTCCTCCTGTCTGCTGAGAGGGTTGAACTGTAAATCTGTCTCAAATTATTTGCCCCTAAAATGTAGGTAGGTGTGTCACATTAGAGTAGTAGAGAGATGGCAGATAATCTGTAGGTGCTTTTAGACACCTCTGTGGGATGGGTCGTTAGAGAACGTCGAAATGAACAAGAAACTGAAATCTAACATGTGAAGAACATACACGCTTATTCTTTGACAATGAAAATACAAACACACATAGACACACAGAGCTGAGTCTAGTTAGTTATTAAACACTGTGACTCGCGGGAGTCCGGGTCTGCAGCTCCTTTTTTGTTTGTTTGTTTGGGGTTGGGTGTTGTTGGTTTTTTGTTTGGCTTTTTTTTTCTTTCCTTTTTCTCTTTTTTTTTGGTGATGTTTTCATGCACATCTTGCAGTAGTCGATAATTGAAAAGCTACTAACTGATCTGATGGGTTATCACTTAAATAATGAGCCATAAATAATAAATAAATAATGGGTTATCACTTAAATAATGAGATTGTACCTTCTTTCCTGCTTTTAGAAACAGTAATAAAAGAGTTAAATAGATGTCTTCATACCTTTACCTTTCTTCTGAGAAAAATGGTGATCTAGTGGGGCTTTATTTTAGGAGCTCTTGAAAAACCACTCCTCGATGTCTCCTTTTTCCCACTCTCCGCTAACCAGACGTTCAGCATTTCTTACCCTTCCTTCAGATGCCATTAGCTCTCTGAGTAACATCCTTCTCCAGCATTGCAAATATTTTGGCGGGGACGGATGTGAACAGCCCCATCAGAAAGATGTCTGGTGCTGTCGTGTCATGCTTGGGGAAATTCGTCACGGGACCTGGGGAATCTGTGTTAGCACTGGGTCCTGCAGCGGTGGGCCCCTTTTTTCTATTCCTGTATTTCTTGAGTCCTGGGAAACCCAAGCCATGCGGCCTGAAGGGCGGTCGCAGGGAGCACAGGGAGGTGGGGGTGGGCGGACTTTTCTGCCTGTGGCTGTGCCTGGGATGTACTCTCTCCCTGATTAGGTATCTGTGGAGGAAGAAGGTGACGTGACGAGAAAAGCCTGACAGCCAAAGAGGGAACTGTCCGGGAGAAGGATCCGTGATGAATGAAGCCTGCGAAGTCCTGATGCAAAAGCAGAGCAGGACAGTGTGTTGGCAAACCCAAATACCGGTTTTTGTTCTCTGGAACCAAAAAGGAAAATGGGGTGGTGAAGGTGGGGTGGAGGAGGGGGGACCCCGGGGAGTGGGGCAGTGGAGATTGGAAGGGAGAGATCAGAGAAGTGGCTGTCTGGAGTGTTATCACGCGTCCATCGTGTCCTCGGGAGAAGGAAAGGCTGCGTTGTCAAACGGGCTAGACCCTTGACGAGAGCCAGAGGTGCCATCAGAGCGCTTCGAGATGCTGCCGTGAAATCTGGATCCTGGTCGATTCAGGGATCCGAGGGACAGTACTTCATAAAATAATCGGTCCCGAAATCTCCCGGGCAGGTGTCCGAGGTTAAGTCAGGCTCTTCGATAATCGCCGAACAATCACAGGGAACAAAATCTGCCCCGGGGCAGGAGATAGGATGGGGGAGGCGGATGCGAAGTGAGAGAGACAGGACGACACGAACTAAAACCCACTAAAATAGCAAACATTATTTCATTCCTTGGGTAACTTCGTGCAGATCTGTAGCTTCTTCCTCGGACTTGGCGGGAAAGGCTATCTTGGACTAACCTGTAACTTCTTGCAATGTTTTTGACCGTGCACTGTACTGCCATAATGCCAATAAACGCTTTTAACGCGTCTTACTAGCGACCATCAGATGCTCCAGCCACTCAGGCCCGGTCTAAACGAGTTCTGGCCTGGCCCTGGACGTCTGGGTCATTCCTTACCTTCGGGTGCTCTTGATGCTCCGGGAAAATGTGTCTGTTGCACCGACTTCTGAGTTTTCTTTCGTCTTGGCTTGCAAGGGGTCGCAGAGGCAAGGGCTCTTTTCATGCCAGAGGGTTCAGGATTTCAGGACTTTGAGTTTAGCGGCCAAAGAAAACCCTGCCTGATATTTCCCGACTTAGTGTCTGCCTAAGAGGACAGAGACTGCCAGGTCTCCCAGGGAGGAATTTCCTAGTGTGTAACATAGCCCATATCGCTCACCCTTTCAGCAAATGCCAGCAGATGGATGCAATTAAACCTCGGCGGTGCTCCACGGCTGGACACTGATCCAGGGTGTAAAAGGGTTGGCCATTATGCAGTGCCTATGGACTGGTGTTCATCCTCGACAGCTCTAACAGGGAGAAAGAACGGAACATGGGTGCTCACAACTTCCCCGTCCCACGGCAGCCAGGGGAACATGGCAGGACTCCCACGGCTCAGGAGAGAAAAAGCCAGAACAAAAAAAAAAAAAAAAAAGGGGTTCTACACACGTACACACGTCTTGGGAGCAATCAAATATCTATGCAATGTTATTAAAAATCATAAAATCCCAGCAAAACAACGACTCTCTTATAAAGGAAATCTGAGGAGCGCGGCGAGCTAAGTGAAAGCTCTGTTTTCAAGGGAAGGCCGGATTAGTTCTCTGCACATAATAGCCAGTGTGTAGGAATTGCAAATGAACATCACTAGCAGTTCTGGAGTTACCCTTCTTAAATCAATATTAAGTTGGGTTCTCTGCACAACGTGCAAAATAACAGACATTTATGAGCTTTCGAGGGGAACGAAGATTGAAATTAACGTGTACATATATTTTTCCCTAGTTTAATCCAAGAAACTCCTATCCTAGTATAGCCAGTAAGCAGTGGAGGAATTTGGGGTAACGCCCCCAGGACCTGTTTTGCGGGTTAAAAAATGCATCAACAAATCAGCACCAAAACCCCGAAACGGACCCGACACCGGCACAGACAGGGGGTAAGCACGATCTCCGGCTCAGCGGCGGCGGGCTCCGCTGCCTGAGACGGCCCCGCTGCGGGGAGGCTCCGCGCCGGCAGCGCACAAGGGCCCCCGTGGCAGCGTTCGCCCTCCGCCGTGCTCGCCCCCGCTGAGCAGTGCCTCCGCGGCCGCACCACGCGGACCGTGCTGGTCTAGTGTGCCATCGCGGGCCCGTACACACCGGCTGAACCGATTCTTCCATCCCGTCATCAGGCATGCAAAGGGGGAAGGTAATACATCTGATATCCCGCCGTAAAGAGGAGAGAGAGAACGCAGGGAGCTCCAGGGCTCTTTCAGACACTTCAGAAATTAATGGGGGAGGGGAAGGGGCTAGGAAGGATAGATGCATTGGAAATGGTAAAATAAAAACATCATGTGAAGATATATTTACTGTCAGCTCAGAGCCAAAACATTTATGCTCCCACGCCTTTTTTTTTTTTTTTTTTTTTTTTTTTTTTTTTTTTTTTTTTTTTTTTTTTTTTTTTTTTTTTTTTTTTTTTTTTTTTTTAGCAAATCGGAACTTAAGTGATGCATTTTAATTATTTTAGGAAAATAAGCAAGAAGGCTCCTTTTCAGAGTCTAAATAAATAACAGAGTGTTCTGTGCCGATGATGTCTCTGGCTCGTGATGGCCTCATCTATCCAGTCACTACTGTGAGCTCTGAAAACCTGGGAAGAGTGGGGTGTTACTGTCAATTTCTGAAAGGAACTGTCCATTATTTGTAGGGTTTTCTGAAACAGAAAATGCAAAGAATTTGCTGACAGTCTGAGAGGTTAAAAAAGGGGCCAATATTTTCCTATGGCTTCAGCTTGGAGCGATGCGTGCCTAAATCTCTTCAGTATTGTCTGAAGCCTCATGAGAGGAGTGATTTTCCTTATGTTTCCAATAGTTATTTCAACTCCTTGAAAGTAGTGGGGAAAAGATATATGTTGCCCTAAGAGAGGCTGGATGCCTTGCAGTCTCTGAGATAAGCTTGGTGATTTCTTTTTCTCTTCACTCCCCTGCCCACCCTCCATCCCCCCTCCACCCCGACTTTGATCTGAACCCTGACAATTTTCTTCCTGCATACAATGTGTCCCTAATCCTCAACAGATTGCGCAGACCTTCCTCAAGGAGAGTGACACTCAGAAGAGCCACTTTTTAATTTGGGGAGAGAGGAGGAGTATAATACTGCCTTCACTTAGAAGTAGAATGTAACCAGAAAAAAAACCCCCAAACCCAACATCCCCTCCAGTCACAAACAAACAAGCAAACCAAACCAAACCCAAACCAAAACAAAGCCAAAATCAAGTGGGAACACAGCAGAAGAGAGTCTCTTTAAGTTCACATTTAAAGAAAATCATGAATCGGTTTATAATAATAGTAGGGAACACTAAACCAAACACACTAGAAGCAGAAAACACTAGTTATAATCTCCCTATTTAAAAAAAATCAAATCAATGATGCATTGCAGTTCTCTGCTTGTAGAAATGCCTAGAACATATATGGCCAGCAGGGCTTATTCCATAGTTTTCTCTCCAAACAGGCTATCCTTCCTCATCTTTAGTAAGGATTTTCATGTTTTTGGTACTCCTCTCCTCTACATCAACTCCCATTTTGTATAGGATAAATTCTGTCACTCAAACACCGCAGCCAGTTCCCATCGGCTTAAATTAACTCAGGAGAAGTTCAGATTACCCATAGGCAAACTCCTTTCTTTCTCTTTGTGGTGTGTCTGTACCGCATCTTCAAGATTCACCAATGGAAATCCCGGAGTTGTTGCTTTGGAGGCTGTGCCATCAGTTTGACTGGTGCAGAAACTGCAAAAAAGGTAGAGAAACTAGGAAAAGTCACATGCTTTTTGGTTTGTCATTCAAGTAAAACAGCAGCATCAGCAACAGCAACATTAAGGCAATATCAAGAAAAAAAAAAGAAGGAAGAAGAAAGAAAGCCTAACAGCAGTGAAGACAAGTGAGTAGAAGTGTTTTGCAGAACAGGATGGTACTATTATTTGCAGTCTACATGATTCCTACCTCAAAGATGGAGCAGGCCACAGCTTGTAGTACCCAGATAGTTGACAACAGAAAGTAGTGCAGGTCTATGGGTGTCTGAACACTCTCTCTGTTTTGCAGCACATGAAGCCATATTTGTCAATCTCTCTAAGAGTTTTCTGACACATACCCCTACAAGAAAAGCGGAAAAGTGATTGCTGCCTTGTTTTCATGTAGATCCTGAAGATATCCAGACTTTTCCTGTACAACTCCATCATCATCCCTATTGAAATTGTAAAATAGTGTTGGTTTCCAGGAAGAAACTTGGGCATCAGGACCTGTGTGAACAGGTGTGTGGGAAGGAAGTGACCTAGCTGCCTTACCACCTCCAAAGAACCACCTCACCCTCTCTTCCTGCAACGCAACAGAGTTCCTGACATTTCCATTTTCATTCCTGCTCTGCCAGAGTCCATTGAATCTTTGCCCTCTTGTCTGATGGCCCTGGATTATTAATGGAAGAAATCGACTAACACTAAAAAGCTGTTAAAATAAGGTTTAAATGTTCTTGAAATGTTACTGATTGATGGATTGATGGAAACTGGTAGAAAAGATTCTTGAGATTCTTCAAGCAAATGCTGGAGGCCCCAAGAATCTAATAATTCGATGTCAAGTTTGCAAAAAGACCCTAGAGAATAACGTAACATGAGGAACGTCCTTTCATTGACAGGGAATAGGTGACCTAACAACATATTTCCTCTGTGAACTTTTAGAATTTATTTCACAAAAACATATGCCAAGTTAGATACCAGCTTGGTATGATCATTTAAAAAGTAAATTATTTCAGATTTTTTGGGGGGAACCACATTTAGCTGCAGTTGAAAAACGAGCAGCAAAGAACAGTGCTGACAATACTAATTTCCAGTGTTATCATTACACTTCAGAAATAACATTACTGTCAAGAAATGGAGTTTTTTGATCTTCTTTTAGGGCTATTGGTTAGGAATAACTTTAAGTCTTCCTTCTGACCTCTAGAATTCATTCACTACTATTTAAAAGTCTGCTTGAAGTTTGGAGGAGCTAAAAATCTCACAAATAATTAATTAGTAATGAACTGGTAGGAGCTGTATAAATTACTGAAGTTATGAGACAAAAGATCTATTCAATTTCTTTTTAAGATGTTGATCTACTATTGAGATAGCATGAAAAGCACTGTTCCCTTTGCCCATATCTATCTTCATGAAATAACCTCAAGTCTGGATGTATGTACCTGTTTTTTACTTATTAGGGACAGAAGCTTTTTACCAAATGCATTATTTGTTTTGTTTATTTACTCATAGATAACCATAAGTCTTTTGGGGCAGTTTTTGCAAGATACTTGAACTTAGTGCTTTGTAGAAATTTTAGATGTTCTCTGCGTAGATTATATGCCGAGTGGGAACTGGTTTTATATACAGAATGAGTACACTTGAATAACCTGGCAGACGATTTAGGGACTGTTCTGTATAACTGTGCATTTTTCCATAGGTAGGACCACCCTCAATGCCATGTAGGGTCTTCAGTTTTGCATGCGCTGTGTGCAACAGGAAATCTTATGTAAGAAACAAAGACATTCATGCACACAGACAGAAGAAGAAAACGTGCTCCTGACGTGTGGCAGTCCTCTAAGTGATATACTTTTGAGGATGAGAAAGATGATCACGGTTTACTCCTCTTCGGTGAAACAATGCTAGTGCTATCACCATGTGGATTCCATGCAAAGCCTGATCTCAGGCTCCGTTTTGCTTTTCTGCTCTCCTACTGTCAAGTAAGTTCCTCTGCTCAGTGACTGAATTTGAAGAAGCAGGCATGTTGAGACAGGTTCCCTTAGCACATGGGCCTGAATTAGCTTTCAGAGGAGATATTGTAGAAACCATGTG